AAGTTGAGCTCTTGTTCCCATGTTCTTACATTGGAGGACAAATAGGTCATCAGCTGCTCACTGTGCCCTTAGGGGAAGCAGGAATTAGCTTTTGTTCATTTTACTTCATACTTTAAGAAATGGGTTATTTAGTTGAGTTTGTTCAATTGAAATATTCTCTTTACCTACACAAGAAGCTACTGTTCTCACAATCTGGCTTAGCATTTCAACAAATGTTGCTTGTTTTGGATACTTAGCTGTTGTGTCAGTAGTCCTGCTGTAGTGGTTGCTGAGCGGAGTGCAGAACTTCTGGGGAAGCTGGGCAAAGTTGGTTCCTGTGGCTGTATCTGCTTCCATTCAAGTCTGTCTACTTTTGTGATTGCTTCTCCTGCATCTCCTAGGCTGTTTGACCTGGCTTAGGAAGCTATTGCAGTAGCTCAAATTCTTAATCTGAATTATTCAAGCTGTGAGGGGCTGAAATGGAGTAGGGAGTGATTAGCAAATCACTGTAGTCATAGGGCTGAATGGACAGCAGGCTTCAGAGCAAGTCCAGTCAGTGATCTTTCTGCATCAGCTTCTTCCAGAACAAAGTATGTGACTACAGACCGAAGTATATTAGTTTAATAGTGCAGAAGCTTCAAAGGATGGATGTACTGCTTGCAAAAATTCAGCTGTGGCTTTCTAGGCATGTTATCACTGCTCTATGAACTCTATGAATGCCATGTGTTTTGTCAGATGAGGCTTTTCTGTAGGTACTGAAAGCCTTAGGTCCAGTGTTCTGTGGGCATTTCCATTCACATGGGCATTTCCAACATGGAGGCAAGCCTTAGGCCATGCCTCTGAAAAAACTCTTCTCCAAGTGCTTGTGAATGAGTTGCACTGTGACCATAACCCCGTTTCTGGAATGGAGCTGGACTTCCCCAAAGTGTCAAGCTTTTCAAAACAAAAAAGAGCTGACAACAAGAACTAACAAACAAAAAATCCACCCAAGGCAACAGAATTCAACTACTTAGATTGCTTCTTCTGCAATCTGAATGCCCTGTCATGGAGACCTATACAGAGAGGTTGCCGTGAGCTTGGTGAATTCAAACTACTGTCTAGTTGTCTAGAAGCACTCCAGTGCAGGGATGACCTTTCTGGGAAAGCCACTGCTTATGCTTGGATTGTTGGAGTACTGGAAGAGCCTAGAGCAGTGTGTGGTCCTTAGATGAGGTGTAGGACAAATACACGTAAATTCTGAGTTGGTATTTGTGCACTATGTCTGTGTTGGGATAGGTGAGGAATGGGGGGGGGGGGGAAAAAACAATGCACCAAACCAGAAAAAACAAGAACACCCAACTGATGATGAGTAGAGCAGTAAGGAGTATTCTGCACTTCGTCAATCCTGGCTTGACTTGACAGTGCTCAGCACATTTCTTTTATGAACTACATGCAGGCTTACTGTAATGCTCCTGCAGCTTTTGATGAAAATTGACTGTGGAGTGGGACTTCTCCTAATCATTGTTTTGAGACACTGCTGTGGAAGTAGTTCTTAGAAGTGGAATGCGATCCTTCTGCCCAGGATTCTGAAGCCTCCAAGGAAGCCTTCCAGAGTATTCCGGTGCTACCTGAGACAGCAGCTAGCAAAGTGACAGGGTAAGCAGTCAGAAAGTAATATCAAGAGGCCAGATAGCTTGTGATATCTGCCTGGGAGCCAGTGGCAGGTTAGCGTGTGTTGGTTTTGTTGCTGGGCTGAACAGTAGTACTTGTTCCACAGTTACCATATTTAACATTGCAATGTCTGTCCAGTTAACTGGTTTAAAATCTCTTGAAAGGCAGGGTATTCTGTGCCACCTGAGAGTGGATTTATGAAACCAGCTCTTCTGGATGGATCAAGTTTCCTTCACAGCTGTCAACACTGTAGTTCTCCACCCTCAAAGTGCTTGATTCATGGCAATGATAGTGTTTTCTGTAGGCAGTTTGGGAACTTGGGGATATATTAAGCTGTCTAGTCTGACCTTCCCTTCTCCCCCCCAAAGGAGGGGGAGAAAAAAGCAACAAAAGAATATCCCAAACCAACACGCTCTGCCTCCTGACTTGATGCACTGGACTTTTCTTTCTAGTCTCTGTTGGTAAGTAAATTATAATGGACATTGAACAGGACTAGAGATTAAACTTCCATACTCTGTTATTTAAGCTGCAGGGTGCAGAAGACTATTAACAAGGCATTGTGGACCTTTAGCAGACCTATCGCTTCCAAGCTCTTGATAGCATTATCAACTTGTGATAGGGAGAATGTTTGTTTAGAAAAAAACTAATGATAAAAGATCATACTACTTGTTTGTCTGGAAAGTGTTTTGGCTTGAGGAGGCTTTGGGTGGTTGCTCTATGTATTGGCAGAAGAATGTTGCTAAGGCTCTTGCTTTGAGATCTGCTAAGGGTCTGTTGACTTCCAGGAAGGAAAAGGTGGTTAGTGTCTGACTCCTGTTCAGGGAAGAGAAATCGTAGATGTTGCTTGATATTATAGAATCCTTAGCATTGGAAGGGGCCTTTAAAGGTAATCTAGTCCAACTCCCCTGCAATGGAAAGGGATGTGCACTACTAGATTAGGTAGCCCAGTGCCTGATCCAGCGTTGCCTTGAAAGTCTCCAGGGTTGGGGCATCCACCACATCTCTGGGCAGTCTGTGCTGGTGCCTCACTGCCCTGATAACAAAAAACACAACACAGTCTATTTTACTTTACAAAACTGAAGCATTATTGCAGTTGAAATGGAACAGATTTAAGAATAAGGCTTTTACGAAGCAGAGTTAAACGTTGTCTAGGGGATATGTAAAAGCAGAGGTATACTTTGCTAGAACTTGAAAGCTGCTTTTTCCTACTTAATGTTTTTATCGATAGAATTATTCTCTCTTTCTGTCAAAAAGACAAGGGCTATCTTCTATGTTTTTTGACCTACAAAGAATGCTTCCTATATGGGGCCAATTCTGTTTTGTGAAACTCTTTCAAAAAAGAGTGTGTGTTTAACTTCTGAGAAGAAAAAAGCTTTAGGAGGAAGGTGGAGTTTTTCTTCTGAAATGTTGACCAGTATTGTGTCAATGTACTTTGGTGTCCAACTGATAGCTAATCTTAAAGCTACTCCTGTTTATCAGGCCTGTGGGTGCAGCTGAATGTTTTGGCCTGCTTTGTCAGCCAGACTGGGTTAGGGTGCTGCTGGAAGCTGTTTTGTGCACTCACTTGGATAATGCTGGATAACTTAACTCTAGCTCCGTAGGATTTAAACACTCAAGATTACCATATAATCATTTGAGTTGGAAGAAACCTTTAAAGGTCATCTAATTCAACTCCCCTGCAACGAACAGAGATACCTACAGCTTGATCAGGTTGCTCAGGTCCCTGTCCAGCCTGACCTTGAATGTCTCCAGGGATGGAGACTCTACCACATGTCCAGGCAATCTGCGCATGGGCAGACTCAACTATCGCTCCCCTCTCCTTCTGAACCTAGTTTGAAGCCCTACTGGCTTTTCCCCAAGGACTCTCTTCCTCTTGGGAAAGGTGATAGGTGTCTGGTGGCTGCAAGCCCAGATCCACGTAGGCCACCCCATGGACAAAAACCCCCCAGTATTTTGGTTGTGGCACCAGGTATTTATAGGTAGACTCTTTCCTCCTGAAGATCTACACTGGCTTTATATTATATTCAAAGCAATACATACGTGCATTTTTAAAGATTTACTGCCATTGACCTTTGGAGCAACACAAGTGCAATGCTTGAAAATGGAGTTGTCCACTCTAATTTACAGTAAAGTGAAGTGCTGTCAGAACTGGCTAAAGAGGCAGCCTTTGGAAAAACTCCAGGGTCACTGTGTTGCCAGGCTTTCAAGTATGTGGTAATGATTCAAATGTCTCGTTACATCAACAAAACAGTGTGTTGGAGCACTGTTCAAAGTCTTTTGCTGGGGATGGGATCTAAGATGCATAGTCTGGCAGGAATGACTTGGCTGGACCTGTGGATGTTGGCAGGATCTCTGCCATGTATGAGTCCAACTGCATGGGTTCCGTGGTGCCTTGTGATACTGCTCCTGGTCTGCTTCCACAGGGAACGCTGGGCTGGGTAATAGCAAATCTACATACAGCTGCTTCCTCTCTTTGATAAAAGCCATGCTAGGGAATGTAGGCATGACAAGCCATCCAACACAGTGAAGCTGATACACTGATGTTCCCACATACGTAACTGCTGGGGAGATGCCTCAATCAGCTTTGTGCACATGGAGTTCTGTAACTAAGTCTGACCTTCTTTCAGCTACTGAAAGAATGGACTCTCAAAGGTTATTGATTCTTAGTGTGAATAAAATGAGCTCCCAATGTTCTTTAACTTTTTCTTTTTGTAGCAACTTGTACTTGCTGTTATTGAACCATGCTTAACGTGTCAGAAAAACAGCGTGGGAACTGTTTTGGTGTTTCTCGCTTTGTTTTAGACCCCAAGATGTTACTCCTTATATATGTGTGTGAGGTTTTTCCTCTTTCAAGGCAATGAACAGGCATTCTGCTGTGTTTGAGAACTGAAGCAGGTGTTGGAATTAGAAAGGAATTTCATCATCTGCTGTTGTAATCTTGGTCTTACTTGTACATGTTGGTAACCAAAACGGACTGAAAACATTTTGACAGCAGCAGAAGGTGATTACCTAAACTTTTTTTTTACCTCTTTGGAGCTTGTGTTAAACTAACTAATATTTCCTAGATAAAGAAGAAACCTGCAATTTTTAATGCAAGTTGCATATAAGAAGCCTTGAAAATAGGTCTTGGTGCTGAAAAAGTTTCCTTCTGTGACTTCTTAAAACATGTGGAATGCTGGAATCTGAAATGCAGACGATGTGCAAAACTCATGAAAATGTACAGACAGCAGCTGTTGATCTCATCTGCACATGTGCATTCCCAACAGCACTACTCTTGTTGCTGGAATGAGAGCCTAAGCATGGATTTTCATGGAAATGTCTGGTGTCTTAAGGTCTGACTTACTAATGCAGTGTAACCTGTCAATTTGCAGGTAAGCATTATGAGGAGGAAGAAGAGGAGGATGCCCTACCTGACTCGGATGTCATGCCAGATTCAGATGACGAGGTGGATTTGGATAAGCCACGCCCCATACAGATTGTTCTCGCTCATGAAGATGACCATAACTTTGAGTTAGATGAAGAAGCATTGGAAAAAATCTTGCTTCAGGAACACATCAAAGATCTTAACATAGTAGTTGTGTCTGTAGCAGGAGCTTTCCGCAAAGGAAAATCTTTTCTGCTGGACTTCATGCTTAGATACATGTATAACAGGGTGAGTAATTTGGCCTTTTTCCCGCAGCAAAAAAGTGATCTTTCAGTTGTTTACTTTTGTATTTGTTGACTTGAGTACAAATATAGCAGGTAACAGAAGAAGAAGGGAAGCCAGCTGCTGTGTGCTACAACTCTGTAAAGAAGTGTATTTAAGGTGATGGTTGTCCAATACGTAGTTGCTATAGTTATTGCTTAAATTATTGGGGTCCTGATGTAAGTGGACTTGAGAAGATCTTGAGTCAGGTGATCACAGTTGCCTTCTAGTTGAGGTTTGCAGAAGGTCTTATCCAGATAGTGGCTTGGAAGAATATTCCTTTGACTTGGTCTCCTACAGTCATGTTGTGCCACTGTCTTTATCCATTGCTGCAAAAAGAATCTTAGCAGATAGCTATTGGAGGGTTAAATCTGCTTACTGAGATGTGGCAAACAGGAGTGTGTCCCTGAACGTAATCCAGGAACTTTTTTAGGTACTTTTCAGTCATTGATTAGTTAATGCCTGATCTGAAGCTTAATTCCTCTACTTTGTAGCTTTTGGCTTGTCTACTATGTTTTGAATTTTTGGCTGATACAGAAGGTGGCATAGGGCCTCCTGTGAATGCATTCATCTGCCTGTCATAGGTTGTGATGTGTTTCTTTGTGCAGTGAATACTAACAGTTCAGTACTTTGCTGCTTTTTGAAAGTCTTAAGTGACAGAACAAGAACAAGTTCCTTTTTGGTCACTTCTTGGAGTTGGAATTCATGGTAGTGGAAACTTGCCTTTGTGCTAGCTGGCTTGAGGAGAAATCAAGCGACCCCTGCTTTTTCAGGAAATGTGGGAATATTGTAAAGAAGCTGCTGGTAGCTGGCAGATGAAGACTTTCTTTCCCTCACTCCAAGTAATGCCTGCTATTGAATTCTCACTGATTTGCCAAAAGTTCCATAAGATACTCACTAAGGGTGTAGTAGAAGGAATACTAAATAGTAAGTTGGTACTTGCAACTTCTTAAGACTCTTTTAGGCTACAGAGAAATAAACATTTCATTGATATGGCTGTTCAGTGGGTGGCTCTTCATGTATATAAACCTTCTGTAGTGTCATGTTTATAATAATATCAACCCCCTCCCCCCAAAAACAATCAGCAACAAAACTCCCAAGAAATACAGCCCTCTGAGCTAAATGGGCACTAAGTGGAGACAAAAATAGGTTATCCCAAAAATAGGTTTGCTCTTCAAGCAAATACTGTAACTTTCAGATTGCAAAATAAAAGTGCAGAGAGCAAAATGTATTGGAACATTTTCAATCTTGTGTAGTAATGTTCTCTGTTCACTGTACTATATAAACACTTTTTTCAGTCTTCTATAGGTGTCCTTCAGATACCATTTGCTGACAAGCTCAGCCATTTGGTGTTACAGCTATCTCTTCCCTAAAAAGAGGGGGTCTTGCTCTCCATGCAATGCTTCTGGCCAGGCATTTGTGTTCACAAGCTGTAATGCTCGCAGGCCCTTAGCTGAGCTGATTGTGCTCATGGATGCATCAGAAGATGCTGCACTTTGCTGAATTGTTTCCTGCCAGTGACGTAAACTGGCTCTGGGGAGGAGTATGACAAGCATAAGAGCAGCTTCAAACTTGAATAATAGACATTGGGGATGAGGAAAGATAAGTGCAGTGCCTCTACTTGTGAGCCTGCTGAATTTTATGTCAGGTGGTGTCATCTATGCTTACACAAATTTTGGTACAGGAGGGGAGGTGGAGCTTTGGTGGGGCTTTATAATACTTTTAAGTCTGATCTCTCTAACTTTATTACAGTCTATATTTACTGTGAACTCAATGTTGGCCTTTGCACAAAATACCAGTGCATCCACGTTCAATTCATACGCTAATCAAGCAATCCTGGGATATTCTGTTCCACTTAAAGTACATGAAAACCTTGCCAAAATAACGGTGACATCCCATTTTCTTGTCTAAGACCAAGAGCTGAGAGTCATGTGGGAAGTTCCCATTCTAAAAATCTAACTTGTGCTGCTGAAGTCAAACGTAGAAGTTTTACAAGTCTGAAAGTGGCTGCTGACTTCAGGGAGAATGGGCATCTCATTTCAAGCACTGATAATTAATGTTATCATTGCTTATTTGAGATGGAACAGGAGCTGCTACTGAATAGCAGCAGTATGTGTTCAATAAAGCTGCTGCAGTGATCCTGTGATCTCTGCATAATGAGCTTTATAAAGAATTGGGTGCAGTAACAGTAGTAAATTTAAATGGGAAAGCTTTTATTATTTAGAGGTGTGACCATAGCTTGTATTAATCTGCAAGATGCACCTCACGTTGATGGCACTAACGAAATAAAGCTGCATTGGACCTTTCTTTGATATGAAATACATTTAGAGAGACTAATACGGTATTATGGTGCTTCTTACAGTTTGATTTCCTGTAGGAGCAAAGCCTTCCAAAAGCCAGCTGAGTGGATGAAAGTTGTTAAAACATCGTTCCCTGGAAAGGAAAGCCAAGCTAGGAATGCTTCAAAGTAATGCAAAGCTCAGAGTCAGACCCAGGCTTTGTCTGCATCACCTACAGGACGAAGCAGCTTGAGCTGAACTTCTGCTTATTAAGGCACTAATGTCTCCTGTTGCATGAATCACGTGAAGTAATAAGTGATTTTTATGCAGTTCTCACTGAAATACTTGTCAAAACTTCGGGTAGTTTTGGTCTGAGTTTCTGTGCATAGGGCAATATATGTCTGGACTAAATTGGGGAAAAAGTATTCTTCCTCTTGAGTAATGGGTTATATTGCTGAATAACGTAACAGCTGCTTTTGAAAAAAGTGCAGAGCTACAGTCAGCTACAGTACGTCTGTGAGATCTGATTCAGCATTGCAGAGTTCTGTCCTGGGGTGTACTGAGTCCCAAAGCAAGCTTGGAGCTCTGATTTCTGCAATGGTCAGTGGGTGTGCAGTTGTGGGGTACAAACAAAACCTCAAAAAGATCAAAGCTTTCAGGGAATATTTTTGTGTTACTCTTCTTCTCATTGGTTGTAGGTATATGTGTGTGTTAAAGACAAAGACAGAAATACCTGTAAAGAGCAGTAGTTTGCTTCCCTTAGGCGAATACATCTTCTGTATTTTTTTTTTTTAATCTGCTCATTTGATTTGCTTTTGCCATGTATGATCCAAGTAGCAAAGATGAATGGTGTGCACTTAGCTTGGGAGGATGCTGATGCAGAATTGCTTAATTGACTTTTCCTTTTAGCACATGGGTTTTCTCTGCAGAAGGTGACAGTAGTGTGTATGAAGCATACTTTTTTCTCCTCCTTCTTTTGAAATAAGCAGTTTTATTTATCCACAGCAAATATTTCTGTATGTGCAGCACATCATTGATGTTCTCTGAGATGTGAAGAAGTCTGTTGTGAGCTATTCTGAAAAGATGTGATGTGGAGTTAGCAAGTTAGGCTGTAGCTTAGTGAGTGGAGGAGATGCCCCTTTGACCTCCATTATGAGCACACTTATCTTGTTATTGATATTCTCTGGGTGCTCAGAGGCAAATTCATTGAAAATCTGTTTCTGTGTTATAAAGGCTTTTCCCTAAGCTTCCTCTTCACTTAAAAATTTGCTTCCTGCTTTTCCAGGATTTCAGTGTGTGTAACCTATCACAGTTGAAGTTCCTTAGAGTGCCTGTTCATGTTTCCTTACTTCCCCAGTACGTAAGCTGCTTTTGTGGGCTAAATCTGTTCACATCGTGTCTGGAATCCTCTATGTGAGCCAGTGCTCCATTCGTTGCCAGTCCTTGAGGACTGAAGATCTTGCTACCATACCAGCAGCCAGACCTTAGCTTCAGTCTGTGTTTGACTGCCCAGCAGCCTTTCCCAACACAGAAGACTTGGCCTGTGAGCTTGTAACATGCGTGTGTTGATAGGTACACATCAGGCTCTCAGTTTTACCTTGTAAGGTGAATACTAATCACTTGGGAAAAGTACTTTCTGTGACTGATTTATAGGAATCCTCTAATCCTTGTGCTTTCTTTTTGGCTTCTGCAAGCAGCAGTGGGATTCTTGACTTTTGCCTCTGTTAGTGCAGGGGTTTAGATGCTTATTTAATTTCAGCAGTTGACCAGTATGCAGCGGAGAAGGGGGAGGATCAAGTTGAAATTAGTTCTCTGTTTCTCGCAGAGGTTCAGCTGTTTCTGAAGTTACAATATATGGTGTTTACAACTGTGTTTTGGAGAGGAAGAGTAGGCAAAGTGGAATTGATGGATGAAACTGAGCTGTTCTCATCCTAACTCTGAGCGCTTGAGACTTGAAAGTTACGCATGTGCACTCTTCAGTGGATAAAGATCTGGGCAACTGCTGAAATGCAATAGACCACAAAACAAACTTTATCATCTACAATGTACAGTTGAGAGCATTGTGGTTTTTAATTCTTAATGTAGTGTTGCTATTCAGCTTTGACAAAAATGAAAGAGCGATATGAAAGTCTGCTAAAACATACTTGGAATAAGAAAAAAAAAAACCCTTTCTTGGTATTAAATAAGATTTTTTTCTTGTTTTATAGACTTCTCCTTGCTGGATAGGTGGAAACACTGAGCCTTTGACTGGGTTTACATGGAGAGGTGGATGTGAACGGGAAACCACTGGCATCCAGATTTGGAGTGAAGTGTTTGTAATTGATAAACCCAATGGAACAAAGGTAAGTGCTTGATTTAAACAGTTGTATTTAGTGATTTTTTTGGCCTCTGGGTGAAGAGTTTTAATGCCATGGGTTTTGTGGGGGCAATTCAAACATCAGTTGGTTCCTTTCTATTCGCTGGCTATGTAACACATTTGGAAACCTTCTATCAGTGCAGGTGTGTGTTTTCCTGCTGGTATTCAATCTCCAACAATAGTCCATTTTAAAATTACTTTGGCGAAGTCTGTTTTGTCCAGGCCAATGGGTGGGTTATCCTGTGAATGTTCTAAAACTATGTTGGTTATAAATACAGTGTACAGACAAGTGCTGTGATAAGAACAGCTCTAACAAATACTGCTTTTGGAGTTGAGATGCGTTCTGGCTTGTAACTGTTCTGGCGACATATAGCATGTAGCTGTGAGCACTAGAAATGCAGCTTCAGTGGCCAGAAGATGGTTGTTCTGCATAGTTCAGCAGCTGGCTTACAAAAACAAAGTACATCTACTTGTGGGAAATACTTTATATACTAACTATACTTATCAAAATTGGTGCACCTTTGAACTCTAAATTGCTGTAACTACAGAGTTTGATTTCAGATGTTTATTTTCATGCTGAAACAGTCTCAGTGTTGTCAGTAAGTATTTACTCCCTAACATCAGCACTGTATTCTTAACTGTTCTCCTGAACTGTAAACTCTTATTTAACTTCCGTAGTCCTTATATTGCTGAAGTGCAGTGAGAACATTTGATGATGAATTAGTATGGGAAGCTGATTTTACCATGTTTTAGAGCGAACCAAGCAGTTCTCTGACTGGAAAGCAGTTGAGTTATGAGGATCTGTTGGTGCTCTGGAAAAAAAAAAAAATAGCAACAAACTTATTTGTTATTGCTTATTTGTTGTCTGCAACTGAAAGAAAAAAGGAGTTGTACTAGATCCCAAGGATGGGTATTGGGCAGATTAAATCTTATCATTAAGACCACTTCATTTCCATGTCGCTTCAGTAGATGTGCCATTTGTCTAGCTTTCTTTTGAAAATAGTTAGTTTAAGACATCTATCTGTCTTTTAAAGGGACCATCTCATAGTTAGTTGACAATGCAGTACAGCTTATCAAAGCTGAGACCGATATTTTTACAGTGATTTAAGAGCTACCTTTTTGTTAACTGGGCTGTGGGATGTTATTTCTGTGGGAGGGGATGAACAGCGTAGCAATACCAAGGACGTAAGGCTGGTGCGTTTATGTAGTTGCTACTTGCTAATCTGTAGGTATATATAAATGTTCGTACAGGAAACTAGTTGAGGCTTTAATAAGCAGGTGTGGAAGCAGAAACAATACTGTACTGTAAACAGAATTTACCCCAATGACCTGTAACAGCTGTTACAGGTTGAAACTGTAACAACTTGGTTAACTGTTGCTGCTCTTCAAAAATCTCTAGGTTGCTGTACTACTCATGGATACCCAAGGTGCCTTTGATAGCCAATCCACTATCAAAGACTGTGCAACGGTTTTTGCCCTGAGCACCATGACAAGTTCTGTCCAGGTGAGAATACCTGTGCTGACAAATAATGGCAGCTATAGGAACCCTCTTGCCTGAGTCTGCACTTTCTCTTTAGCTATGCTTAGGATGTTCACCTGCACGTTTTCCTCCAGTAATTATGTATGCTTTCATATTTAATGGTCCATTTGCAGTATTGTGTAGATAACCATGATTCCAGAAAGATATCCAAGACCAGGCTGGGTTAAATTGCTGAGTGAACTGGTAAATCCCAAACAAAAATGTCATAGTAACAACCACTCCTGTACTGATACAGTAGGGAACTCTTAAAGAAGACTTTAGATAATACAGCTTAGGGTGAAATTACACTGCAGTCTCTTAAAGGTACAGCTACTAATACTAAAAACATCAAAGTAACAGGGGGATGTGGAACCCTGCTTCTGACCTCCACCCCTTTGTTCCTATTGTTAGGATAAGGCGTGGATCGCTGATGCATCCTTGAGCTAAGTGCTCTTCAGTATTGATGTCATTGGAGCAATTGTGAGCTCCCCAGAGAAAGTCAGATTTCTCTGGAAAGATTTGAGAGCAAAAAGGGCTGGTGAACCATCTGCCCAGCTGTTTTTAAAATAGAGATGATGCCACAGGAGCACTTAAACTTGAGAACAGCAGATGGACATGCCCATCTTAGTCCTTCCCTCTCACCACTGTGCTGTAATTAGAAGCATTCCAGCATTCTTCCTAGATTTCTTTATCACTTCTTTCCTTGGAAAGAGGATGTTCTAAGAAGGATTAGGGTAGTCAGCAGTGATTTTTTTTTTTTTTTTTTTTTTTTTTTGTCATTACCTCTAGGTCAAGGTAGTGACTTCTCTTGAAGTGTTTGCTTTGGCTGGTTTTTAGACACTGGCTTTCAGGTAGTTGGATGTTTCTGGAGGTGGTGAAAATACTCAAGAGGTCTAAAGGAGCTAAAGATAATGGTTTCAAGTCATGTTTTAATTTCTTTACTGTTCCTTCTAGGTATACAACTTGTCCCAGAATATTCAGGAAGATGACCTTCAACATTTGCAGGTAAGAATATACAGAATTTATGTTAAGCTACGTCTGAGCTGACAATCTTGAAATTGTTCTTGAATTTACTACTGATAGAACTGTGATTTGGTAGCTGCTTTATACTTAGTGCAAGCACTGAGTCTGACCTGATGCTAAAACTAATGCTGCCTATAAAAACATTATTTGCATCAACTCCATGATGCTGTGATGTTTCCTCTTTGACAGCATAAAAGTAATATTGCATAAACTTCTCATTTGGTAAAGTCTTCCGAAAGTCTGTTCTCTATACAGGAAGTGCCAAAATTCCAGAAAGGATTAGAATGGGAAGTAATTCCTGAGAGCACTTAATGAGAAGTTTCCAATATTTCTTCTTTTTTCCCTAAAATTAGAAAACTGACAGTGTTTCATAACTGGTTTCTACTGAAATTTGGGAACGTGACTTGGAGAAGAAAGAGCATCTGCTGCCTGGAAACCTTTTCTAGTTTTTCAGCTGAGAACCTTCTAGAGAGTCCGATTCAGTCTGGAAACAAAAATCATAAGAGTTGTCCACTTTCTACTGTGAGATTTTCATCCTCTAATGGGATGTTGTAGTCAAATGTCACTGAATTGTGGCTTCATGTGAATGGTACAAGAGCTTTATCTCCTTAACTTAAAACCTGTAGCTTCAAAAGCAGTTTTGTATCAACTTATATCTGCCTGTGCTCAGGTCGTGACCTTGTCGCAGCTTGATTATTTATATATCATCTGATTGAAAGGACTTCTGTCTTGTTCAGTGCTGCAGAAGGCTGGCTGCCAGTGCTGGGAGTAGAAGTGAATTAACTGAACATAATCTTCTGATTCTGTTCTCAGTTAAGAGTGGTATGCCAAAGGAAAGAAAAACAACCAAAAAACTCTGGAGTCCACACAACAAACCCTATAAAAAAAAACCAAACATTTCCAAGCAAACAGAAAGGGTCAGGAAAGTCTGGCTTTTAAATAATTTACAAATAACTTTTAATAACCTTTGGCAACCTCAGTGTAGTCAGAATAGATAAATCTGTGTTATAGTGAATAGTGAGATTTGAGGGAAGTGCAATTAAAAAGAAGCAAATGCACAGGCACTCCCTACCCAGTAAAGATGGGGACAAGGAGTCATGGGCTGAGAGAAGAAAATGTGCTAGTCTGAAATACTCTCACTCTGTCTTTTTCACGTAGCAGGGAGGTGAGTGCAGTGGGCAGTCAGGGTCAGAGAAACAATCCATTCTCACATGGATGTTTGGCCTCTTCAAAGCTTTATGCTCAGGATGACAGGGACTTAGAAGTTCGCTTGTATTGTCTGTCTTGTAAGTTCTCAGATGTTCTTCTGACAAACAAAGGGAAAATTGTCCACATAGGATTTTTTTTTTTCCTGAAGTGTCAGAGAGATTAGCTTTAATGCAGAGGAACAATTGCCTGATTATAGAGGGTACTGGCATGCCTCCTTCATCTTTTACTTGTGTTCTCATGAGTTTGCTGGCCCGCTTAACGTGGAGAGGAAGAATGCTGCTTTTAGCATTAAAGATGGTGAAAGTAACCAGAGGAAGACAGTTAACACTTCATTTTATGCTGAAGAGTAAGAAAAATTATGAGATTGCAAGCTGAAGTAGAGATCTGGGAAGCTGCTTGACTTTGAATGTCTGCTACTTTGGGTCTAGGCAAGTTCCTTGAAATTCTGAGGAACAGATCTTTTGTGTAAGTAAGGGACAAGTGTTAGGCAGGCTTACCTCCTTAGCCTTGCAGACAAGTGTTGGAAACTGGCTGGAGACCTGCTCAGCTTTCGTCTGAGAACAGCCTGCAGGCTGCCCATTTTGAGCTGCAGTGCCATGACAATTCTGGTGTGGCACTGTGAAACCAGTGGAAATTATTTCCTTCCTGAGTTTTACAGAAGGTTGATGTGCTTGTTCTTGAGCTGCATTGGCCATTTTAAACCATAATGGGGTTTAAGATTGAATGCTTTATTTATTAGTGATGTAATGTGACATAGTGAGTTGTTACAGTGGAAAACTGTTTTATGTGTGGCACTCTTACACTCTTTCTATCAGTTGTTTACAGAATATGGAAGACTAGCAATGGAAGAAATTTACCAAAAGCCGTTTCAAGTAAGTGTACATATTAAATGTGTTGTAAGCAATTGAATGTATAGAAAATGAGCTTGGGATAATGTATGAAGATAAATTAGTTTGCCTCAAGCTAGTCTCATCTTTACAAGATGAGCTTAAGCATTAAGGAGGTATGAAAGTCAAGTCTTGTGCTGACATTAAGGAGAAAAGTTTCATTTTTTCCTTCCTAATCATTACTACTTGAGTTGTGGTTGGTCTTTGCTGTGTGTTTGTGAGTATAGGTCATATAGCTTTGAAATACTGTTCAGGTCCATACTATGTTTCATTTACTTGAAGCATCAGTGATGTTAGTGTTTGAGTTCTCTAGATTGCTAACTTCCTCTCTCTATTGGCTAATCTAGAGAAAGGTTTGAGGCTTCTTACATTTAGTGGAGACAAAGTCTGAGATTCCTTTCAATCTGAATTATCAAATGATCCTTCTGAACATTTAAAGGTACTAGTGGCAAGTTTTTACAACTTGTGTCTCTAGAATATTTGTGTGAGTCCTTCATGCTCTTGTGTTGGCGCAGGTAAGATGGAGCCTTTAAAAGCACCTCATCTAATGTAAGGCTAACATCAAGGTTAGTTCTATATCTTCAGCTAATAAATAGGAGGATGGACCATGTAATCCCTCAGAGGTAGCAAAAAGTAAACCCATGGAAAAGAGAAGCTGTCTTTTTTGAGATGCTGAAATACTACTTTTCGGATAAGAAATCAGTCGCAGTTGCTTGTGTGTTGGTGTGTGGTGTCTTTTAAATGAGCTGATACTTACACCACAAAGCTATAATTCATTCACAGTAGCCCAGTTTTAGACTTTTTAATCTTAAAATAATCATGTGTCATAGTTCTCGACTTTGGGAATGATACAAACCATTAACCACTGTTGTTCTTCCTGTTACAGACACTGATGTTCTTAATTAGAGATTGGAGTTACCCTTATGAGCACGCGTATGGCTTGGAAGGAGGAAAAAAGTTCCTGGAGAAAAGATTGCAGGTAAATTATTTACAGTAGTCCTAGTATCATGGTCTGGCATAAGTGATGCCTCACTGTCAAGATAGTGATGCATAATGACCTAGCTCTTTGTGCTTTTCCACTTGTATAGAGTGCTGGGATTTAGAACTCTACATTTCTAGGTTCAAGAATGAAAGCTTAAATACAATCTTGTGCTCTTACTGCTTTTAAACTGATACTCAGTCTTTCTTGCAGTGCTGCAAAACTGTTAGCAGTTCTTAATGCTTTTTTTCTTCAGGTGAAGCAAAACCAACATGAAGAGCTACAGAATGTAAGGAAGCATATTCACTCCTGTTTCAGTAACCTTGGCTGTTTCCTGTTGCCCCACCCTGGTCTTAAAGTTGCAACAAATCCAAATTTTGATGGGAGATTAAATGGTAAGAAAATCTCTATTGTGTGTTCTTTATTCAGATCACTGAATTAATTTTGTCATGAAAGTTAAACACTGATATAGTTGGCCATTGAAATGTTTTATTGGAAAAATATGGGGCTAAAAGGTGAAATGATGGTATCTAGAAACGTGTATTGTGTGTTCTTATCAATTCAAAGGGGATGGATATCTTTCTTTGCATCTAGGTGTTGACTGTAGTGTCAATTAGTGTGAGACATACCTAAAGGTCATTAAATAGGATTCTAAAAAAAATAAAAAAAAAAAATTGCAGACATGAGCATTTGTAAAATTAAAAGACTGAACTCTTCTTAATATTGAAAGGCTTTTCTTTAAGAACTCGCTCAATAAAAAGGTCTAAACTGGAATGGCTGTAAAATAACTGTAGGATTTTGCCACTGTGGAATGGGAGGCAGCTAGGATTTCTTCATTATTGTGCTTCTCCCAGTAGAGAGAATGTATCAGGGTGGCAAAGGCTAAAAATATGACTGTGCAATATTGGGATGCTGGTTAGTTCTGTGCTGAAGGCACAAACAACCTATAGGTTGTGTAAGAGACTGGTGTAATTGGGAAATGTACTTTGAATGTTACAAGGTCTACAGGACTCAGTTTTCTGTTTGAATTCAAGCTTTCAGGAGAAAATAGAACTTAATGGAGGCATAACATGTATTTAAGACTTGAAAAGTTTAAAAAAAAAAATAAAATAAAATGCAGTTGTGTTGCTATTTTGAAGGGTTAAGGGTTATGGGTTATCAGTGTTCCTTTAGGAAATATAAGATTGAAAAGAGAACTAATGATTGTTTTCTGAAACTAAATTTTTCCAGATATAGATGAGGATTTTAAGAAAGAGCTGCGGAATTTGGTACCATTACTGCTTGCCCCTGAGAACTTGGTAGAAAAAGAGATTAGTGGATCCAAGGTGACCTGTAGGGATCTTGTAGAATACTTCAAGGTAAGCAAACTCATGCTAATTATTTTTGTTAATGGCTTGAAAGAAAATATTCTAATTTTAGGATATCTTGTTCCCAGAGAAGATAAAGGTATCTAGGCTGACATCCACTGATCACAGTTTTGCTTTCATTATCTGACTTTCCAGAACTGGCACACAGCTTAACACAATAGCCCTTTGCAATCTGCTGTTAGCAATATTTTTTTGGTAATAAGCTAAAATACTTCAGGTTCTATCAGATAGAGATTTTTTTCTTTGTTTTTACTATTTTGAGAATCTAGTTTGTCTGGATTTATGTGGGTGGGTGTTTTGTTTTTTGGTTTTCTTTAAAGCTCTCACTGACAGGTAGAAATCCAGCTCCTAAGCTTCTAGGTGTGCGGTAAAAAACTCATCTTACTTTCTATCCCTCCAAATTTGCAATATGCAACGTGAGTGCAAGAAAGCATCTTCATGTGTTACACCATTGTGCGCTATAAAATTTGTGGGTACTTGCTAGCTCTTAAACTCTTGAGCTGTTCTGATATCATGATGACATCAGGAGTAACATGGTAGCATGATTCCAACGTCACCAGGAGTTGGTCTGGTTTATAGCTCTTTTTGAATTGAAAGGACTTAGCTGCCTTCATATGGGAAAGCAGCATCCCTAATGACTTGAATTTTACATTACTACTTCTGAACATGTGTTGATGGCAAGTCAGCTGGTGTTATGGAAGCACTTACATGGAGTGGAATCTGAGACCAGAACTCTGACACGTAGATGGTGTTGTTTTATGTATGCTTAGAAGAAGATGCTTTGTGGAAGGTATGATATGGGATGCAGTACTCATGGCTGCTTTGACAAGCATAAAATCTGCTCTGAAGCTGGTGTGCTCAGTCTCTTGGTGTTCACATGGTTGTATATAGCTTGCTCTGTTTTCTTCTTTAGTGAGGCTTGATCTCATAGGGTGCAGGGAGTACATATTCAGTGGCAGTTCAAAAAGGAGTGCATCATAAAACTGTTTTTGGCTATTGAAAAGCAGTCTAATTCATGTTGCAGTAGCCAACCTGGGAACAGTTGTGCAGGAAAAAGCATTCCCTGGTCTGGATCTAAAGCTGAAATCGTGAACTCTGAGTTGGAAAACTGAGGGGTTTTAGTTGAAGGAAATAGCTATCAAAGTAATAGCTACCAAAGAGAGTTAAAAAAAAAAAAGTACAAGCCAGACTTCATAGTTTATTGGTGCTTGCACATTAAGAAAGCCTGCCAGTGGCTATTGAAAGAGAACCATTTTGGTGGAGATGAACAGCTTATTTTTAATACCAGTAAAAGCATGTTACTTGAAATGCTTTGTTAAAAGCAAGTACTGCTTTGATTTGCTTTAACTGGAGATTATGGGAGCTTCGTGTTAGGCTTCTGAAATGTAAAGGGGTTAAAGCACTAGGGATAAATGGGCAAGTGACAAATATTGATGTATGGAGAAACTTGTGTGAGTATTTGTCATTATGACAAAGTAATAATTCATGAGCTTTGTCTCTATGTAATGCCTTCTCTTTCCTTCTTACCCGTATATGCTTAAGAAGTAAGAAACCTTTCCTTTTTGATTCTAGGCTTACATTAAAATCTATCAAGGAGAGGAGCTACCTCATCCAAAGTCTATGCTGCAGGTATTTTGATAGTAGATGTGTATTTCATAAGTCCTGGTCACGACCCTTGGGAATGTGAAGCTTCCACACACACACTTGTAATTCTTGAAGGAACTGTGTGCTTTAAAAGCAAGTGAAGCAGGGGGCATTGTTTCTTTTTTTTTTTTTTTTACCTGCTTCAATTTCAGGCATAAGTTTCCTTTAATAACTTGCTCTTCTGTCAGTGTCTTTCAGACAGTATTCAGAGGGCTTTTAGTATCAGCCTTAGTAGACAAAATGGAGAAAGATTATAGTAGTGCAGCTAATACTACTGTCTCACAGTGGGCTCCTAACAAACAAACATGTGCAACAAAGATCAGGTAACTACACTGAACTTTCCTTTCTGTGTTGATCTAAAGAGGGTGTAATCAGCTATAAAGTAATTAGAAATAGTGACTATATAAAGCTATGTGATGAACACTCAGATTTTTGTGATAGTTTTCTTCTAAGTACAGACTCTAGAGCCAGTTAAAAAAATATTACCCACATGAAATGGTTAAAATTAAGCTTTTAGTGTCACCTCATTAAAACATGGAGGGCAAGTCAATACCTAGAATAGTTGAGGAAACAATTTTTGAGACTTTTGGGGAGAGTGGGTGATTGAGAGAACTTTTCACAATGAAAGAGGTGGTTACCATGTCCTCTAATTAACATGCTATAAATGTGGCTGAGAGGTAAAGATGATGACATCTTGCAGTATGAGCCAGAATAACTGTCCCTGATGTGACACAGTTTGAAAGTAGTATAAGTCCTTACAGATAGACACCCAAACTGCACATACACAGTGCAGAATTAATACCAGCTTGCTGCTTTCCTCACAGACAGCGATGTGTCAGGATTAACGTTCAGTAGTTTAGAGATCCTTATTTGCTTTTTAACAGTAGAACACTCAGAAGAGATTGCTCACAGTAACAAGCTGTACAAGCACATGGGAGTTTGTTCAGAGTTGTATTAGCTGAAAAAACCTTTCTCCTAGTCCATAATGTGTCTTAACGTACATCTCCAACCTTCACTTGTTTGTGTGGGGCATTTTCTTGGCAGTCGTTATGTTTGGTGGTGGTTGCTGGAATATGTTGGACAGTGCAGATACATGTGTAAAACTAGCTGGTAGTATATAGTGATAAGTGGTTCTCAATGTTTTCTAGGCAACAGCTGAGGCAAATAATCTTGCTGCTGTGGCAGGAGCAAAAGACTTGTACAGTAAAGGCATGGAGCAGGTATGGTAACAAAACTTTTTCTAACTGAATGTAAATACGGGCTTTCTGTTTTAGTGGTTGGTGTAGGTCAGTAGTGTGTTAATGGGGGGAAAAAATAGCTTAGGCAGCCAGGATGGGTATCTGATGTAGTGCATCTGGGTTTCTTTGAGATAGGAATTGGTGGGGCGGTGTGGGAATGGGAGTTTGTAAGAAACCACCTGTGGATTCCTGCTGCTGCTCCTGACACATCTTAAAGCTTGTAACATGAAATAGACAGGTAAATGAAGAGATGTGGTGTCAGGGCATCTGAGGGTAGAGTTCTAGTATGGTTTCACAGTTTTGAGTAGCAATTGTCTATTAGCTGTCAAATATGTGGATTAAAATCCTTTGAAGCAAACCCTTGAAATACCAAAACTATGTATGCCATTTCCTACTTGCTTTTTCTCTTCAAGTTAGTAACTTTTATAGGTGGATTTCATAGTGTTACACAAGGTTTTTATCACAGCCAATTCTGAAAGCAGTTGCATGTCTTAAAGTTTAACGAGACTATGCTCATTGTGAAACTTTATATTGGGAGGGGACCAGTGGGTGTGATAACATGCTACAAACACAGCTCCCTACTAAGCGGGCAAATTCTGGTCTTAATCACTAAAATAGCTTTCTGTTTTGAAGTTAGAATAAGACCTAGTGCTAGTGGCAGGCTAGGCAGTTTCAGCTGTTAGCAGGCTGAGCTGAGAATGCTGATGTAGAGGGACTCCTTCATTTGTTTCCATTTTTGGATATCTCTTGAAATAACTTATGTTGTGTATTTGAAGGAAAGAAAAAAAAAAAAGCCCAGTCTGTTTTCCTGTCTTGACTTTTTATTGGCTACTAAGATACCATAGTTGTAGGACTTCCTTACTTGGAGCAAGGAATAAACAGAAACAAATGTTCTCCTAAACAGACTCATGTTTCCATAGTAATTTCCCTCAGTATTGTATATTTTTATATTGCTGTAGAGATGAAACACAAATATCTTAAATCAGTTCTTATGCAGAAGTCCCAAATGCTCGTAATGTGACACAGCTTTGAAACTTCTGTTTTCAGGAACGAGGCTTAAGGCTGGGTTATGTATGGATATTTCTTACCGCAGTGCCTTGAGCTCTCCTCATGAGCCAAAGCCCTCTTTCTAAGTATGCATAAACACTCTCTCTTAATGATCTTAAATGTAAGGAAAAACAAGTGCAGGCACACAGAGCATCGGAGAACAGTGGCAGTATCTGCATGGCAAGCCGTGGTTTTGATGCACAAGGATCTCCTCTTATTACAGTACTCTGGGGAACGTGGAAAGACTGTTCTGGAAAATAAGAGATTAGTAACTGTTTTCCAGGGAGCTTTCTAGCTATGGAGAACTGTAAAAAAAAGAAAAAGCAGAAAGAGGTGCTTATTCAACTCAAGCAGGTGGGGTGATGGTGTCAGGATTTTAACAGTGAGATTTGCTTTGAAAAAGCTAGCCAGTGAAGATGTACATCTTGTGAGGCAGAAAGGACGTGCTGTACTCTGAGAAAGTGATCTTTCTGTGTCCAGCTGAAGGAACAGCAGCAGGATAAAGTTAAGGTTGTGTTTGAAGAATGAGATGATGAGCACTGTGATAAGTCTGCCTGTGTTACAGGATGAAGGCTGTAGTTTAAGGTCACGTGGAAAGAATCTTCAGGCATAGTCTGACTGTAAGGGACTCAAGGAGTCAGGACTGATGCGAGCAGTTCGGATCTGTGTCCTAGGTACCCTCTGACTGTAGCCCTCGTGGTCACACGTCAGTTTTACAGATTAGTCCTTAAGAGCGTAACCATTTTTGTACTTGTGCTTATTTAGGGGGAGGAAGATGATGGGTCTCCTTAATGCAGGTATCCATCCGAGTCCCTGCTCTCCTCCCTTCAGCAGAAACTTGTTCTCTCAGGTTGATATGAATCAACTGTCCTAGAGGGCAGTCTAGGGAAGAACAGGCTAAAGATGCTGTCAGCAGCTAGTTTTTGTTAATTTGTATCACCTGATGAGTTCCCTGGAGCCTGTGAGTGGCAGCAATAACCAAGGAGTTACTGAGTGGGCCAAATCTGCCCTGCTTGTCCAGATTTGTTGCTGAACTTCTCATTGGGGTGGGTGGTCTGAACTAAAAAGCTGAGGGGAGGGCGTAAGAGTGCTACTTAACCTTTCTCTAGCCAAGCTTTCTCTGCCTCTGGATGTTCTTTGCTTTTTCCCTCTTCATAGCAGGAAATTACAGTGGAGTTGATGTCCTCTCCTTATGGGCTTACCTGAAGGAGAACACAGAAAGTATTAGTCCTGTCACGTGTTATGGCTTTGTATACAGTCAGGCAGTTTAGGCATTTGCAGGTCCATGATGCAGAGTACTTTTAGCTGCTTCCCTTGGGATGGCACTCCAGACCTTACAGAGGAAAATTGCAGGAGTCAGTCTGATAGTGGTTTGAAGGGTAAGCAGCAAGGAGCAGGTTTGCTTTCTGTACAGGACGAGATGCTGTATGTGTTGACGCCACCTGATTGTTCCTGCAGATTTGTGGAGGAGATAAGCCTTACATTGCCCCATCGGATCTTGAGCGGAAGCACCAGGATTTCAAAGAGTCAGCTGTCAAGCATTTCTGCTCTGTGAAGAAGATGGGAGGGGAGGAGTTCTGTCGGCGCTACCAGGATCAGCTTGAGGCAGAAATCGACGAGATCTATGCAAACTTTGTGAAGCACAATGATGGCAAAAACATATTTTACGCTGCTCGTACCCCTGCCACCCTATTTGCAGTCATGTTTGCCATGTATATAATCTCAGGACTGACTGGGTTCCTTGGTATGAACTCCATAGCTACCCTGTGTAATCTTGTGCTGGGGATGGCTCTTATATCCTTTTGTACGTGGGCATACGTTAAGTACTCTGGGGAATTCAGAGAAGTTGGAACAGCCATTGATCAGATCGCTGAAGCTATATGGGAACAGGTTGGTATCTATTTTAATGACAAATCTTTTTTTGAGCAAACATACAAAATAGTTTCTGTTCAGTGCTGTGAGTGAAAAGCTGGTGTAGACTTAATAAAGAATGCTAGTTTTGCTGAAGGGAAAATTAGCTTAGAAATGTGACTGATCTCTTTAGCAGAGCTTACAGGCAATGCTAGCCCAGGAATGTTACAGGCCTTACTAGATGCTTGAATGGTAAGAGTGGAAGGACTCTTTAAAAATCTTATTACTACTTGAAGCGGAAAAATTGTGCTTTTAAAGGTAAGTTTAAAGTGGCAGGCCTGCACTGTGGATGAGCTGGATAAAATATTTCCAATGGCTTAAGAAATGTGCATGTTAAAAACAGTGCTGTCCTTTTGCATTTCACCAAATGGTGTGTCTCTGGAGGATTAATTAGACCTGAAGGAAAATGGCTGATGGGTGACCAGACAGACTCGCAGTAGTTGTTGTACACCAAGTTCCTTCCTCTTCCTGGAAAACTTGTGCTGTGTGTGATACTTCAGATAGCATGGTTATTGTGATGCTTGTTAGACAAAGAACGAGAAGACTTGAGTGTCAACAGTACCAAAGGCATCTGTACAAAGATCTTCTGTCTGAATCCAGTTAACATAGCTATCCCAGTACAGCCAGTGTGAAGATCTTGACCAACTGACCAACTCTTCCAAGTAGCTTTTGGAACATTCCTAGTAGCTATGTTAGATGCCAACAAAGGGAAGTGCTTTTAGAGCTGTTGTTACTACCAGTTAAAAGGGCTGACTGAATTGACCCAGGATGATACTAAAATAGGTCCTGCTCAGCACAAACAAATAACTATGCGGATGCAGTCTTGTACATCTCAAATAACTTTATTCCAGGCTTTTTGTAGGCACTGGTATACTCAACCTGTCTCTGGCAGCTGTGTAGGATAATGAATTACTCTGAAATAACTGGAGAGAAAAAGTGGATTTCTAATAAAAGGAAGGAAATGAGAAAATATACTAAATTGAGTTACACTGCTTGATTAGTGGTTAAAATTGAGGCTCTTCTGTACCACTGTAGCTTCTTGCTTTTGAGCTTGGAGCCGAAGAGCACTACAGGAAAAGTGGAGGGTGTCAGCTGGTTGTGCACTGCTCCCTATGAGAGCAGTTCTGCTGGAGGATACCTACAGCATGTGAGTTTAGTTTGATCACTGGCCTTCCCTGAGGAGGGGAAGAACGTGGTTTACGGCAGCAGGAGCTTTTGTGGGCTAGAGGAAGGTGTTCTCCAAAGGAGTTTGCTCTTTCTGTTGTTATTCTACATCACAGATAACAGGCAAAGCATTTATTGGTCCTGGTCTGAGTCACTCTGTACGTCCCATATTCTTTCTATTGATTTTTCTTTCTTTTCCCTCCATGCTTCAGAGGAATCCCAGGAAGGTAAGAAGTTGCTGGCAATCAGATTTTTCTGAACTTAACTGACTTTATCTGCTGCCTTCTGAGAGCCACGTTTCCTAACAGCTCAATTCATGTTCTAGGTGTTTTTCAAACTCTTTGAAGTCCTTAGATGCCGAACAATTCGCCGTGCTCTTACATCAGTGCCGCGACAGCGACTCCCATCCAACAATAACAAGAAGAAAAACTAGCCAGTGTTTTTAACTTTCTTTCTGTATCTGAAGTGTTCACAACTTACACACATAGGACAATAAGCTGGACCGTCTGGGCCGGTCTGCGTAAATGCTGTAACCATACCAGACTGATGCTGCATATAGGGTATGGAATTGCACATCCACCTTCTAGGAACTGTAAAGTGGTTTGAATTCAGAGAAATACTGCTGTGTAGGAGGGATATCACTTGTGTTCATAGCATGTGACTGGTTTAACCTCATTAGTGTAGCAGTGAAACTCATCTATTTCAGTTCATGCCAGTTTGTGTCAGGCTTCAGCATTCCAAATTTTTCCATTATTTCAAGTCTCATCTTTTTGTATGTTTTTTTTATATTTTATTTTCTTTGGTTACCTCATTTTTTTGTTTCTTTGCACGTTTCTCATTCCACAGGTGTTGAAGCCCATGAGTGATAATTTGGTGGAGGATCATATGAGGCAGTCTGTTAGAAACTCTATCAAAGCAGGCCTGACCGAGCAGGTGTCTCACCATGCCAGACTAAAGACAGACTGACAGTACATCTCCTCTTCAACTCTGCCCTCTCATCCTAGACATGCTTGCTGTACCATGAGAACTCAATAAAAAAAAATAAAAATAAAAATAAACCAAAGTTTACAATCAACTGTAGAAGTAGTTTAGTGTGACTGGCTTCGCAGACTGCTGCCATCACCTGGGGAGAGTAAGTTTGTCAAGTGCTCTGCTTCTGAGACAAACCGGTGCCATTGGAGACTGGGGGTGGGTGGGAGGGGTGTGTTTTTAAGCATAGTCCTGGTGAACCGTGCATGTGTGCGTTTTGGGGTGTGTGAGGGGGAGGGATCTGCCCCCCAGTGTTTGAGTTGATGCGGTGTCTGGCTTACGGTGGGAGCCTGTCCTCTGCGGGAGATAACTTCAGGGAAGTAAGGATCAGACCTTGTAAGGGGTGCTGTGCTGTCCCCAGGTGTACCGAGCTCTACAACACCCCTTTGCCACCTCTGAGGCCAGAACGTTTCTGCGTATGGAGTTGGTGAAGCTATTAGAGCCACTATGTTAGATATGCATCCTGCTTTACTGCCTTTTATACCAGTGTTACACAAACATGTATGTTGGTTCCTCACACTGCTGATGGCAGAATAGCTCGTAAGGGAGGCAGTGGGTCTGAGCATCTGGTGTCTTGCCTTGAACTCGCAGACCTGGTCCAGAGGGAGGTGCATATCGAAACTGAGCTGTTTTTTTTCCTGCAGTTTAGCCTTCATGTATATAATATTGCCATTAATTCTACTGGGGGAAGAAATTCCATTGAAAAACGTTGCCTACAGCTACCAAGCGATGAGTTAGGATTGTCTGTACAGTGTGTTTAGTTTTTATTTTTTAAGAAATCACAGATAGGGCATGTATATGAAATATAAATATATAAATACGATTTTGTATCAAAGTTTTGTAGTTTATGGCAAAACCTGGTTCTGTGGTAGCTAAGTGCAGTCCCTGTAAGGGAATGTTTGTGGCTCATGTAAATGTGTGAATGCATCAACAATTTGAAGTTTTTGATATATTTGTGATATTTACCTGCCTTGAGCACTGCAATCTCACCCCCTTGGGAAAATCAGTGGGAATGTTTGTTGTGAAACTCTTGTCTTCTGTTGCATTTTAAAGTTATTTCCTGTAATTTATTTTCAGTACATGATTAAAATCAGTTGTGTATATATGAAATGAAATTCGTGCTTATTTTTAAAAGATGTTTAAGTATGTATTCTACTACATAAACTATGTCAAATACTTATCCTGACAATTATATAAAGAAATTGTCTATTGTACTTCATGGCTTTCTCTTGAAGCTGATGTTTCTTTCCTGCTCGTCTCTGAAAGATGACATCTGTCTAGGTCCTATCCCCTCCCTGGTTAGGAAAACTTTCTGCTCTTCTGAAGCACGCTTCTTGACTTTACCGAGTTGTTTGTCAGCTTCTGCCCTTCAACCACTGTATCATTCTGAAATCTCGTTACAGGCCCTGTTTTCACTTGACTAAGCATCGACTAAGGTGTTTTCAGAAGTGTGGAGCATAAGGGCAGCTAAACAGTTAACTAACTGCTGTAGTTTCAGCTGGAAAATGACTGTGTGCAATAGCTTGTATTTTATTATTTCTTCATTCCGAAGTAGTATGGATTTCCATCAATGTTTGAGCTGCATCAGGCTCCCCTCTCATCAGGGAGGGAAACTTATTTGTTTAAACTAAAGCAATTGCACTGTGACTTTTGTACCCTACGGAGCTGCTAGGGGTTGGTGGTTGTTACCTGTCCTCCAGAGATTAGGGCTCAGCTCCAGGTGAATGATGCTGAAGATGAGGTAGGAATGTTGCATTTTATGCTATCTTCTCTCAAACTGTACAGATTAAATACTGTTATTTAAACAATCTATTGCTCTTGTGCTGAATCTGTTTTTCTTGGTCAAAAAACTGAGGAATCACAAAGGTGGCTTGGAGTGCCACACTTGCTTTGTACCTTCCTGGAGAACAGAACTGAGGGTCAGATCTGAGGCTCGGCCATGCCCTGCAGTGATGGTGAGAGCAGAACTCTATGAGTGTGACTGTCAGGCTGGAAGTCTTGATCCAGCCTCTACCATTCTACTGGCAGGAGGATTGGTGGTTATAAAGGTGGGCATGTGGTGGGAGGGGGAGAGAGGTTATAGACCCTGCCCCAAGAAGCTACAAAGCAAACAATGCAAGGACACAGAGAATAGGAGGGATAACTGTTATCTTCATCCTTCCTCTGCTGTTTCTAGTACTGAAGGTTTAGGATACTGACGCAGGAAAGAGCATTTGGGATCTGTGCAAATTTGTTGTGGGATGATTTTGAGAGGATCCAAAGGCAGGAAGAGCAAGGGATCAAGGTGATTTTTTTTTTTTTTTTTTTTTGGAAGCAACAAGTGTGGGGAAAAAGAAGATTGCAAGTATAAAATGCACTGGGTGGATGTCAGCAGGTGCCCAATTGCTGCAGCCTGCTTCTGCAAATTCTGCTTCCTGGATGAGGGAACTGCAGTGCAACTGAAGTGCCAGCAACTGCACTAGGGAACTTGACACAGGGAATGTGTTGAGAATGAGTACGTGGGAAGCAAGCGCCAGCCACTGCAGAGTCAGGATGCACGTCAGTATATGAATCTGGATTAGCCAGCAATAGGTAAACCTGCTGGGGTATTGAAGCAGCCCTAGGTTTGGGGTGGATGTACATGTCGTTCTCCCTGAGGCAGCTAGAGGGAGCCTCTTGTTACAGAGACTCTAAGGGCCACTGAGATCCATTTGAATTGTGTGGAGACGAAAAAGGCCTTGAACACTGGTTATTGTCTCAAGGTCAGTACTGGTGTGCGCAGGGGAGGATCTGAACCAGCAGATACGTGGCGCAATGGTGGTGCAGCAATTATAAGGGGTGGAGAACGGGAAACTGTATTTTATGGCAGGATCTCAAAACTCTGCCTGTTACTATTTTGGGTTAAAGTAATGAGGCACAGGATATGGTAAAATTTCACTTTTATTGAAAAACGTGGGCAGGAGAAAAGACATTATTTACACAAGTTCCTAACTGCAACCCCAACTCAAGAACATATGACCAGCAGTATGACAAATGGAGGGGGGTCCAAAACACAATTATGGAGGCTAAGGACAAGGTATGATGAGTCCAACTCCCTCGTGAATGCGGGCCTTCAGATAAGATCAGCAACTGAAAAGAAGAAAATGTAAGTATGCACCAAGTGTGCTGAGAACTGTAGCCCAGTCGGAAAATGCATGTACTGCTGGGCTTCTCTCCAGGGGAAGGAGAAGAGGGGTTGTGGTTGGGAGCAAAGCGTGCAGAACATCTTTCAGATGCAGCGCACCGACCTCCAAGCAGAGGAGGGCAGCAGCTTGGGGCAGGCCTGCACTCACCGTTCATGGGCATCTCGTCTATCTGGGTGGAGTAGTACTGCTCAATGTCTCTCAGGATGCGGATGTCGTCATTCTTCACAAAGTTGATTGCTACACCTTTTCGGCCGTAACGGCCTGAGCGGCCAATTCTGAGAGGCAGGAGAAACAATGAAGCCACCGTGGGTAAGGGTAACTCAGCCGTGTTCCCTACTGTGAACACCAAGCTTACCTGTGTATGTACAGTTCTCTGTTGTTGGGTAAGTCGTAATTAATGATCAGGGATACCTGAGGCACATCCAGACCTCTAGCCCAAACATCTGTTGAAATAAGGACTCGGCTGCAAAGAGAAGGGGACGGTCACTAAGCACAGATGTGAGCTGAGGAGTCAGGCTGCCCAGTGCTGGAAACATCTGCTATTCTGCTCTCCCCAGTGCACTTCCACAAGTGTGCTGCTAGGAAATCTGGTCCCACAGAACCACCAAACCTCTCTGATGAGACAGTGCAAAGCCAGCTCTGGTCTTACATTTTAATTCCTTATTTTAAATGTATCAACTCCCAGTCTCCTCAGCAAAACACAATGGGATAATTCTATGCCTAAAAGTACGAGCATCCCTTCTTGGACGGTGGACATCTCCCATCTGTGAGACACTACGAAGGGATGGAGGGAAATCAAGAATTCTGATTTTCAAACTAAACCAGAAACAAGACCTTGAGAGAAGAGAGGATTTAAAGGCTTCTAAGACTGTTTCCTCTGAGGCACTGGAAGACCTCTTGCCTTATGTAGCAATACTGTAAGCAACGCTGTTAAAATCACTTACCTTGCACCAGATCTGAATTCTTTCATGATGGACTCTCTCTCCTTCTGTGGCATGTCCCCATGCATGGATGAAACGGTGAAGTTGGCTTCTCTCATTTTCTCTGTGAGCCAGTCTACCTGTGTGTACAGCCAAGCAGCCTGGGTTAGCAATCTGCTCATGCCAGCCAAAAGTGTTAGTTCTGTTTGGAGAACGTTTGCACATATATGCTGGTAAGGACTGAGAGACACTTTAACGAGTGTTTTGGAGCAGAAGGAACCAAATAGTCCTTGCAGGGCATCACCTAAATGACAGGGTTCCATGAACCCTCAAAGGAAAGGAATTAAAGGCATTCATTCAGTGTGATTTTGTTTCGGGAATTACAATTAATAAGCACATTCTTATCAGTCCTACTAGTCTAAAAAGGCAGTTACTGCCAACTACATCAGGTCTGCCTGTAGCTTGCTGTCTACATCAGGCATCTCCTAAAGACACATTTAACTGCTGTTCTTACTAGGCAATTGTCAACCAGGGAAACAACCAGACACTTTGGCTCAGCCCAGCATTTTCTTCTGTGTTGCCCTCTGCAAGTGAGATAACGTGCCCATCTCGTGGCTGCTGTACCTTTCTCTTGGTGTTACAGAAGATGACAGCCTGGGTGATAGTGAGCGTGTCGTAGAGATCGCACAAGGTGTCGAACTTCCATTCTTCC